CCAAGAAGTGTCCCTTTCATGAAGAAATACTGTAATGAGGACTGTTCCTGGAAGGCTTTCCCAACAGTGCAGTCCGGACATCTATTTTAGCTCCACTGAGAGGATGTTTCAAGCAGGTGGAGTGCCATGCAAGAAGAAGCCTACTTTCTGTCTCCAATGTTGCTTATGCTGTTTCCTAATGACTGTGTCAAGCCAAATGTTCAGGGAGTAGAAGCAATAATTCACTCTCCCTGTGACAAGGCAGCAAGCACCTCCCCAAGCCAGTCAGGCTTCCTCTTACCTTTTCTTCTTCTATCCCTAACATACTTTCTATTTTGGCTGCCCAGTGACCTAGCTACAATAAGAGGCATCTCGATGTGACCTTGTACTTAGGTTGCTGCCTTAGGATGTTCAAGGCTAGATTTCAAATTCCTGCAGGAGACAGTAGACGTAACACATGAGTCTCTCGTGTCCTAAGCAGGTGCTTTCAGGGTGATGGACAAAAGGATGAGGCTATGTACCAAACGGCTGCTAATCCTGTTTTTTGGTAGCCTACAATTTGGGGAAGTTATGCTGTACTTCTGAGCATCCAGGCCGGGGCTGGACAGAACCAAAACTTGTGCTCCTCAGGTACTCAAGCATTACTGAAAACCTCAACAATCCTTTTTATCTCTAGCAAATATATCCGTCAACGTACTGAGACGAACATGACACTGAAGGACAAACATTGGCTCCTGAAAACACAAGAGAATTTTTTGCCCCTAGCAGGACAGAAGAAAGGAGAAAAGGACCTGCAAAGCACAAGCAAAGACAAAAAGATATTGCCAAGGAATCCAGCCCCGAGATAATCTTTCAGGTAAGGAAAATGAGATTGTTTTATTTTGTCATGATGCAGAATGCAAATCAATCTATATAGCTGCAAAACATGTTGTTATTGGATTCAGAGACATTTCCTTTTAAAAATAAAAAGTAATATTTGGAGAAAACAGTCTTGGTGGCAGCAGATTGTTTTTCCATCTCATTTGAGT